TATGTAACAACATTGGGAGCGTACTGTTAAAGTGTTGTGGCCTATTTCACTAAAGGGAAGAGAGAGAGGATGCAATGACAATAGTGGAGGAAAAGGCTTAAGAAAACTGTAGTGTGTTTCCCTTGTGCCAATACCTTTATTTATAGTAAACAATAAGGGGAGATAAACTTGCTCCCAAAAATACAAATTCTAATAATAAAGAACCATCTAAGATTATATAAAAATCCTAATCCAAAATCATTAAAATATATTTAAGTATCTTTTTATTTTGTTTTTGGTCAACTAGATAACTTTCATTATTAAAAACTAATACAAGAAATGGAAGGCCCAAAGACAATCCTAATACAAGCATAAGCCAAAAGTAAGTACAACTAAAAAGCCTATAAAGAGCAAGCCTACAACAACAAAAATCCTAGATCTGGAAGAGTGCAAACTCCACCACGCCAGCTGCACCGCCATCGCCAATCTGTCACCACCACCAAGAGAAAAAACCCATGAACAAATTGGATGAACGGAAAATGTTGAGCGAGCCACCCGTGCAAAAAGCACTCCCATAATCCTAGTGCTAAACACACTTTAGCAATCACCCAACACCAATGTGTGCCACCGAAGGGAGACATGTGATATGGAATTTGAGACAAGGTTCATGGAAGTTAGAAAATAGAAGAAAGAACGCAAGGAAAGAAATGTAGGGAAATAAAGGTTAAGCAGAAATGAAAAGGAAAAGAAAACAAGGAAAGAAGAGGAGGACCTTAGCCAAGGAGAGAAGAAGGATGGAGTTGGGAAGCAAATCCTAGGAAAGTTGGGGAAGGAAGAAAAAAGCATAGGGGTGGTAGACCTGGCAATTTCTTAAACGACTTGTTAACACGATACGTAAATGACACAAAAATAACAGGTTTTGGGTCGACATGATAACTAATTGGGTTGTTATTGGGTCACATGATAAGAACCCTTTAATAACGGGTCCTTAACAGGTTTACACGAGGGTAACACGCAGGTAACATGTTTCAACACGTTAAGAAAAATGTTATTTTAATGATTTTAATTTTTTAAACTACTAAAAAAACTTACTATAAAATACCATAGCCATAGTGTATATGTATATATTATATATGTGACAACTCGTCCCTAAATTTACGATTTTATTAATTTTTAAAAGAGTGAATTGACGAAAGTGCCCCTACTGGCAAGATTGTTGATTTTCGTTGATTGTCATTTAGTGACGCGTGCAAGTTACTATTTTACCATACTCTCGAAGTTCTTTGACATGACGATCACGTAAGCGTAATCTAAATCGAAACTGGAGTTACGATAGGGGTTTTACGAAACTACAAATCCAAAAAGTACTTTTGTAAAGATTACTATTTATTATTTATATATCTCTCATAGTTATTATATTATTATTTTAATATTAGTTGAGAGAAATGAAGGAAAGGAGAAGGATGGACGGAGGAAAGAAGGGAGAAATGAGAGAAAAGAGGGGGAAGCTGCTCAATCAGATAAGAGAATGGAGAAAGGAGAAAGATGAGGGTGGATGTCTAATTAGAAAGAAGAGAAAGAGAGAGTGACCAACCATATAGGAGAGAAATGAGGGGAAATGAGGGAATGGATGAGCACCGGATCACCCTTGACCAGATTCCACCCCGTCGACCCGACCCAATTTCCAAACACCCCAATGTCGATTTCGGCGTTTTCCTGGGGAAATGATCGTCGCCACTACCCAAAACCAACTCCACGACCTTCCTTCTTCAAGTTCCACCCCAAACCCGACCGTTTTTTGTCTCAGTTTCGTGGGGATAGCATCGGCACCATGGGGGAGATCGGCAGAAATCTGCCATTTTTGAAGGTGAATCATTCGACCACCACCATCATTAGCCTCATCTGGAACCGAACCCAGGAACAAGTCCCAAGCCTTGGTTGGTGCGTCGGAGCACCGGAGGTGACGAATCGAAGCACACCCTTTATAAGGTTTCCAGCGGTTTGTGGTAATTTCAGGCCACTTCCCGGCTGAATTGGACTTCAGCCTAGGTATGAGAGTGGTTCCTCTCATTGAGATCTTCATTCCTGTTAAATTTGGGAATTTTTGGAGTTGTTTGATTTTTCCGGCGAATTTGGGTGGCGCGTGGCCGATAGGTTAATGCTACCTTTTAAAGTTAAATTTGATGTTCTAATTTTAATTTGATAACCGTTTGTTATAGTTCGATAGTTTGAACTTAGTATGGAATGCTACGCCACTTGACCATTTTATGATTCGAAGATCCGACCATTGGATAGTCACCACACTTTAATACATTATAGTACATAATAATTGAGGACCATAGGAACTGACGGATTGGGAATCCGATGTACGGATCTTCCCAAATTGAATTTCTAAGTTTGTAAAACAAATGTTGATAACAACCTAATTCTAGCAATTGGCGGAGATCCGACCGTTAGATCGTAAAGAAGTTTTAGCATGTTGTTCTAGAAGTATAGTGTGGACTTTGGGAAGTTAAGAATCGGAAATCCATGGGCGGATGTTCCAGATTGACTTGTATAGGGTTGTGGACCCTCCTTACCATATTTCGACGCCCCGATTAAAAATTCGCACTCCGCTTTCCCAAATTTAATTGTTTTAGTGAAGTTTTACTAATGGGTCCTAATATTATGCTTAGGTGTGATTATTATCGGTGACTTTAGCTATTCTTGTTCGAACGGGTTCGGCTTGACGACATGATCTGTTGGTGGGTCTTTTCTTTAGATATATATATATATATATATATATATTGGTTAGTTTCCATATATACAATTATTAATAAATTCTCTATGTGATTGCTATGATTAAATTAACGTTTATAAGAAATGTCTTATTGTTGGGAAATGATGAACTAATCCTACGGGATGCACAGGTAAGCTTATTATTAAGGGGATGCCTTATATTAAATTTATGGTTATGAATAATATTACGTTGACTAGAATTATCGAATCAATGTGGCATGACTATATTTATGTTATCTGCTTATCGTTTGCTGCACTAGTGTTAGTACTCACCCGGGCCAGGGCTAGTCTTTCATGTATATGTGCACATCGCACCGTACACTCACTTTGGATCTATTGTAGGTGCCAGTCCTGTAGTACAGGTTGCAATAAGCAACTCCAACTCGTATGCGTTGCGCATAGCTTTAGTCTTCACGTGATTGTAATACTAGAGCGTATATCAGTATTACACCAAATCATGTTCATGTCAGAATATCTCTGCATGAACTCGTGTGTCAGCATCTGTTGATGAGCATTTGATGTGATATGTTTATTTATGCGCAAATATGTGATTACGGACGTCATGTACTCATTTACGAAAGTTGTGACGTATGGCATCCTTGAAATATTGCTGGTTTTGGCAAACATTTTTATACTATACGTAGTATGTTTATTTTGGAAACTATACTTGTTTTACGGCGAGAGGTTAAAGTTTTTAGAAAGGTTTTTATAAAAGTTTATTTTCAGGCCCACTCACCCTTGTTTTTCGCCCCTTCAAGTTTAGTGGCTGAGCTTTCTCGTTGACGAGGATTTCTGGCAAACTGTTTTAATGGTAATGCTATCGATGGTATAATTCCTCTATTACCTTTACGATACTTTACTTATGCTCTGACATCACTTGTGAAATGAGTTCATTCCCGCTCACATGCGCACTCTTACATTTATGAACTTTTAGGTTTAAATTTACTCACAATTTCCACATCACTACGCTTTATGGCTTCGTCACCTTCCAAGTGTCGACCAGCACAATTCGAATTAGAGTCCTAGTGGACATTCTGGGTCAGGGTGTGTCAGTATATTAAATATGTAAGTTTGTATTATTATTCTATATAAATTAAAAAAAATTCAAGTTTTATTTATTTATTTATTTTTATAGTATATTGTAGGCAAAGAGTGACACTAAAAAATTATAAACACATTAAAAAATAAAAATATCAAGTAATTTAAAAATACAAACACATTAAAAAATTATAATAATTAATTTACAAGTGTGAAAAATGTAAAATTATAGGAAAACGCTCGTGATTGCATCATCTACGCTTTGAAGATGGGTACATCGCCTTTTGAATTTTTAGAACCATACAAACTCTCATGAATAATATTTTTAAAGGGAGTTCAAAATAAATAAAATTTATAATCATTAATGTACAAGTCTGAAAAATGTGAAAGCATATATAAATGCTTGTGATTGCATCTTCAACCTTGAAACGCAGCTCCCTTCATTTTGCTTATCCTTGGACATTTGGTACTTTGTAGTAATATACTAATGTTTTTTCATTATGTTTTTGTTTTGGGGTATGTAATTTTTTTTATTTATTTTAATGTTTTGAAGTAAATATACTAATTTAGTATTATGATTTCAGTTTTTTGTCAAATTATGTTTTTCATTTTTATTATTTATTGATTTAAAATATATTTTCTTTAACGGATAATGAGTTGAGTTATATTATCTGATAATATTAACATGTCAATTTCAAGTCGGGTTATATTACTCGTTTACTTTAACGGGTGTTAAACGATATATGTCCCGAAAATGACACGAACACAAAAAACACAATACGAATGTCAGGTCTAAGGAAAGAATCAGAGAGAGGGGTGGAAACCAAAAATAGGGAAGGTAAAGGTTGGTGGGGGTGTGGGGTGAGAAAGAAGATCCAAAGTAGGCCTGCCCAGTGAATAACTTGGCTTGGGGCTAGTGAGTTTGTTTGATTGTGACCACGAGCAAGATGAAATTTTTTATAATCTTTTTTAGCCTTAAATGAGTGGATAATCATGACTTGTCACCAGTTGTACTCATTTTAAAAAAAAATAAAAATAAATAAATTGAAGAACTCGGCCCCAATGATGTTTTAAGCTGCAACGCAACAGTTTTGTCGTGGTAAATAATCCACCCAACCAGCTTCCTCCTCCTCCTACCTTCCACCACTTCCTCAAAAAAGATAAACAAATAAGTAAACTGTTATTTTATTTATTTATTCCTTTAATTTAACAAAATAGTCTACCTTTGTTTCTTGTTCAACCAAGTTCCCCTTCCATAGCTGCTGGAGACATACATTTCCAAAGCTCTGCAACTCCCCCACTTTCCATGTCCATGGCCTCTTCCACAATCCTTCTCCTCTCTCCCTTTCTCCCTTCATCTGCTCCTCCTCTCCTCCCTCACTTTCTCTACTCTCCCTTGTACCTACCAAGGCAATTACAGAGCTCTCTCTCCTCAACCTTCCCCTAAAACTCTCCTTCCCCAGCAACTTCTACTAGTTTTTGTTCAATCAAATCCCTTTTTCTCAGCTGAAGTTTCTGTTTATGTCCAAATTACAGATGCCCATTTCAAATTTGCTCCAACTCTCTTGGAAAAGGCAGTCAAGGCAATGTCTTTGTGCCCCTTTGGGCTTCCAAGCTGATACCTAGTTGTATTGAGTATTGGGTGTTCTGATCTGTCCTTGGAGGTTAAAAAACACAGGTTTTTTCATATACCGAGTTCTTGTTTGTTGGTGTTCTTCAAAGTCTGAACTGAAAAGTTCATGGTAGAGTTACTTAGTGATCAAATTCTGCCTTGTTTGAATAGAATATACCCTCCTGATTCTGCTGGGTCTGCTGGGTTTCTGTTTCAGAAAATTCTTGAACAAATTGGGTTTGCTGTCTGAACCTTTTGCTACTGATTTGGGGGAGTTTTCAGCTGCAAAGTCAGGGCTTTTGATCTGGTAGGTTAACAAACCCTAAGATTTCTTATTCTGGTCAGTTTTGTGATATACCAGTTTTTCTTTTTTGTAGAGTGGTTCCAACTTGGGCAAGATATATTTTGTTTATTCTTTAGGATTAAGGTGATAAATAATTTCAAGATTGTAGCTTTTGGCCTGAAAATTACTCCATTGTTACTTTTTAGGCAGTTAAGTGGTTAAGGGTTTGACCCCTTTTGCCATCTTACATTTTGGGGCATCATCTGCTATGTAATTAGACCTTGAAGTAGGTTTCTGGTGTTTCGTTAACCCCTCTTTGTGCGTCTGTCAAAATGCCTGGAGATGGTCGCTTTTTCGTGGAGTGGAAAGAACAGTTTGTTTCGCAGGAGAGGGGCAACCGTGTGGTTCACTATTTCTTAAAGGATTCTTCCGGAGAATCCATTCTTGCAGTTGTGGGTACTGAGAGGAGTGTTAGGCACATGTTCTATGTTGTTTCTGAGGAGTTTTTGCAAGCGCACGGAAACGAGAGCTCCAATAGTGCTAACTATAAATGGAGGTCAAGAAGGGAAGTTGTGGATTGGCTTACATCTATGCTGTCAAAGCAGCATGTACGTGGAGATCTGTCCGGTATGTGTTGCTACTTTGTAATTTCTAGTTCCTTATATAGTCTATAAAGTGTGCTCTTATGTATGCCATTAAAAGCTTTTGTAAGGCAAGGATGTTAACTTCCCCTACGCCTCAGCATCAGTTTCTAGTTTAAGTGACTGGTAAAAGAATATTAAATAAATTTTACCACGTATGAATATCTGTATGAAGTTAGTTAATAAGAAATCCAATATTAGTACCTAATGGCTTATTCTCTTTACCTGTATTTGCAAGAAATGAGGGATATGTATAACTGGAAAATTATGATTTTAACACACATTTTTATGACAGAATCACCCCAACATGATTCATCACAAGCTTTGTGGAGTCCCGAACATCCAATGAAAGGAGTTAGTGGTCACCAGGTACCCAATAACTCGGTATCTTTTTGTTGTGTTCCTTATGAGTATTGATTTTGTCCTTGTGATGCTTTCAAGTTTTGCATACAATACTGACTCCGTAACCTGTTTATCAGGGCCGTCTTTCAACGACCTTGAAGGGACACAATCCAGACATTGTTTGGTCAGGTGTTGCATGGACATGTGGTAAACAGCTCAAGCATTTCCCTGCATTCTGTAGGGATGGAACTACAATAGTGGTAAGGATTTAACCGTCAAAGTGTGCAACTGTACAAGGCATAGCTATCCATGCTTAAACTCTCAAACTTACATAAAAGTCACATTTAATTTGTAGAGCAATATTATGCAAGAAATGCTGTAGTGAAAACTCACTACTCCGGGAATAATTTCTGTGACCTTATGTATCGAAAGATGATTAATGTTGCCATAAGATAAATACATCCCTACATGGGTACTTGAGAAGTAATGAATCATTTGTTTCAAGTTTCAAAGCTTATATAGAAGATAAAGAAATTATGTCTTTATTTTGTTACATTGAACTATGGTTGCTTTCATTAATAATGCTTGAGAATACGTCACAATTATGTGATAGTGACACTAGTATCCTCATGATGTTACATGTCTCATATGCTTCATAGCCTGGGAAATTTGCACTTCATTCAAGTATGATATATTATTGCATGAACTTCAGGAGATTTAGTTGAAAGACTAGTCGCCAGGGTATTTTGTTGAACATTGCCTTGATGTGTACATCTTGGTCAGGTCAAATCACTAATAACCACTTATATTCTGTCGACAATGGAATTGACATGCTACTCTGATTTTTGCTGTCAGCTGCAATACTTTTTCTCTGATTGTTTTGCTTTTCCCTTTGCATCCAGATTAAGTCCTTTGTCTTTGTCATGGCAAAGGGAGAAAATCACTATGTTGCTTATATGGAGGATATGTACGAAGACAAGAGGGGTCAGAAAAAGGTCAAAGTGAGGTGGTTTCACCATAATCAGGAAGTCAAGGGGTTAACTCCTGTAAGAAATCCTCACCCAAAGGAAGTTTTCATCACACCATATGTGCAGGTCATTAGTGCAGAATGTGTTGATGGTCCTGCAACAGTCTTAACTTGTGAACATTATGAAAAATGCTTAGCTCTGTTTCCTCAGGCTTTATTGGCCAAAGTACATCTATGCTATAGGCAGTTTAGAAGTAACAAGGTGAAGCCATTTGATTTGAGTAAAATGCATGGCTATTTTGATCAGCCAATTCTCTCTTGTTTCGGTCTCGAAGTTTCCAAAAAATCTGAGTTTATAAGTGATAGCTTGAATGGGGAAGAAGATGAATTGGGTCCAAGTGACTATGTAAAGCAAGGATCTAAGAGGACTAGAAGTGGAAGGCCATGTCAGAGGTTTTCAACTGGTCGTTCAAGAGCAAGAAGTTCTACAATAGATAACCAGATGATGACATATAGACCTCAGAACCCAAACTATGGTTTACTAGACAAGCGGTTGTTGTCCATGAAGCTTGTTGATTGTCAGCCTTGGTATACTCCACTATTTAAGGTTGACGAAAAGATAGAATTGCTTTGCCAAGATAGTGGCATTCGAGGCTGCTGGTTTAGGTGTACAGTCTTGCAGATAACACGAAAACAGATGAAAGTTCAATACGAGGATTTGCAAGACGAGGAAGGAAGTGGCAATCTTGAGGTATCTTTAGCCACTACTACACTTTCTTTGTTTATTGTTTGGGTAACTGGGTTGAACTCTAAGTTGTGCAAAACACTGTGACATCATGTCTGATTTATTTACTTGGGATCTGGCTTGAGTTAGGTACACAAGATTTCCATCCAACTTTCTGTTTTAATCAACTATTCATTGTGATTCCAATTCAAAATACATGTTCCCTCTTCTTTATTTGGTGCTTTCTTGCATTCTGAGATGCAGTCTAGCATGTTTAGATTTTAAAGTTGCGTGTATCTCTCTTTCTACATTGTCAACTCTTGAGCATCTCCTTATTTGAACTCTGAACTCTTACCCTGAAATGCAAGTTAACCTTCACTATTTTATGATGGTGTGTCCTGGACACTATCGGTTTCACTGACCCTCAGATTATCCCTTGCTAGCTGTTGACACCATTCAGTTCTATGTGATTTGAACCTTTTTGATCCGGTCAGTTTTCATGTAAGCTCGGTGTTCAGTTTGTAAATATAGTTTAGAAATATGGTCCTATTTTTGGGTGTTGCAGGCTTTTCAATGAAAGAGATGCAGGAAGATTTTCTTCTTCATTTCCTGTATGCATTGACTAGATTGGCACATAAGCTCCTGTGCTCTCTTGAGTGATTATTCTGTGTTTTCTTGATTTCTTTTGGGTTCTGAACTGTAATCCGAAGGCGTGACCCTCACTCTCCCAACTTGTAGGAATGGATCCCAGCTTTTAGATTGGCTATGCCTGATAAACTTGGCATAAGGCGTCTAGGCCGCCCAATGGTCCGGCCAGCCCCTCCTAAGGAACAAATGGGCCTTGCCCTTGAGGTTGGGGTTGCAGTTGATGCATGGTGGAGCGATGGCTGGTGGGAAGGGATTATAGCTGAAGTTGGCAGCTGTGGTGACACCTTTCAAGTTTTCATTCCTGGTATGCTTAGTAGAAACTGGATCTAGTTTTTTCCCTGCATGTTCCTGTTACATATTTTCCATATTTTCTCCGTTCATTTGTTTGGATGTAATTGCTTTGGCTGTAATGTAATTGCTTGGGCTGTATCAGGTGAAAGCTTACTGTTGAACATGCACAAAAATGATCTAAGAATATCCAGAGATTGGTTTAGGGACGAGTGGGTTGATGTTGAGGCAAATCCTGATGTACTATCAGCCATATCTTCAACAATTAGCTCACGTACTCGTCCCTTTACGTTGCCCGTGGTTGTGAAAGATGTCGACTCTGATGGGTTTGCTTTGTCGTATGTTGAAGTTCCTTCTAGTACTAAACATGTGGAAGAGGAAAAACTGAACTTGGCCACGTCATATATTGAAGTTCCTTCTAGTACTAAACACGTGGAAGAAGAACAACAGAACTTAGCCATATCTGCCAGTTTTGAAGCTCCTGATAATATGGACTTGGACAGTGATAGGAAGTCACCATCACTAAACGATGTTGGTACTGAAGGTGTTGATGTCAACGACAGTTGTGGTGATGTACAGGATGTCCAAGGTAATGATGTTGATGACAACAAGGGTGATAAAATTGCCGAGGATGACAAAGGTGACAACGGCGGTGGTGATGGCAAAAACAATGGTCATTATGAGGGTCAAGAAAGTATGGAAGTGTTTGAAACTGCCTGTATTGAATGTGTTGACGGGAGCGACAGTTGTGGTGATGTACATGATGTCCAAGTTAATGAAGTTGATGACGACAAAGATGACAACAATGGCGAGGATGACAAACATGACAACGACAATGATGAGAGCAAAAACAGTGGTCCTGATGAGGGCCAAGAAGGCATGGAGGTGTTTGAAACTGCTGGGGAGGGGAGCCCGAAAGCAGTAGAAATCATGGAAGTGATTTCATAAGATGTCTAACTTGAGTTGGATAACCGTAAATTGTGTCAGTTAATGATGTTAATGTTGTCGGCTAATGTTGAAAGTGTCAGTTAGGATGTCTGTAAATAGTTACACAGATGTGTTGGAGAGAAGCTCACTGCATTGTTTGGAGTTGGTGGCCTTCCTGGGTGTATAGTATGAGATAAGAGTTCTATGATATTTCGCTTTTTCTGGTTTTCCACGGTTTTATTAGAATTCAGATTCCTACGATAAGAAGCGATTCTCACCTACGATTAGAAGCGCTTCTCTACGGGTCAGTTCTACGTTAGTGATCACATTCATCTGCTTCTGCTTGTAACTTTGTATCAAAGATTCCGAGGTGTCCTGTAATTTTAAGTACTATTTCTTGGCTCCGTTATTAGAACTTGTTAATGAAAACCTTGAAAATGTATTCAAATAATTATCCGTTTCGAAGAATCATCAAACTGCGAAATTTAGAAATTTGTAAAGACTGGAAACTGAAGTAAGACACCTGTTTGCACCTAAAATGTGCACAATTTCACTTATTTGGGCTATTTAGGTAAAATATGGCATTTGGAGGATAAATGTGCAAGAATGCTAACTTGAAAAGATATTTAGCTATCAAGTGGGATAGTTTGGCATTAAAATAATGCTCTTCCCTTTTTATGTGGGTGGTGAAGGTTTGTCAAGAACTTTATTTAATCAAAACAAATGTTTGCTTTTGAATTGGAAGATAACATGCAGACACGGAAGTGGACATATGGATGAAACAAGCCACCTTGCTTCTTTTAAATGTTAGTTTATTGCAAGTGGTGGAGACATGTGGTGAAAGCATGTGGTGGGGATACAAACTTTCTTATTTTAATGTTATTTCACAATGCAAGCTGTAGAGGAGTTTCTTTCGGGTAAGTTCAATATTCTCATAAATGTGCTCTCGGTTCTCTATATAAAGAAGCAGAAACACAAGGATTAGGGATACTCAAACAACCAATCAATCAACTCTACTCAAATTAGCTCATCAGCTTCCTTGTAGACATTTAGCTTTAGCGAAGCATCCATTATTTTCCTTCTTTATTAGCTCTGTTGCTCATTAGTAGTATTGATCTCATTTGTAGTTCATGTACAACTCATTTCCAGCCATTTAATTTACCAAGCAATCTACAATATTAGTCATTCACTTTCCTCTGTCATTTACATTTCCAAGCAACCCTGCCAATTTCACTTTCCTCAATCATTCAAAACCCGTCTACTAGCGGCATCTAGTAGTGGCATACCTGCACCCACCAATTTCATGTTTGAGTAAATTTTTGGCATGCTTGCGAGCCCCATGGCGAATTTAAGGAGCAAACAACACCGTCGAATTTGCTCGATTTATACACACAAAGATTATAAAGATTTGCCTATTTACATTTGAATAGTAGAGGGAAGAAAAAAAATGAGGATATAAAAAATTAGTGCTGTTTGTACCATACTTGACCAATCCCGAAACTATCAAGCACTGGTCAACTTCATACCTTTAAGGACCCACTGGGGGGTTCTTGCTGAGGCACTCAAGTCGAAGCACAAGTGTTTCCCTCCAACCAGGAGGTCAATCACAAAAACGTCAGAATAAAGCTCCTAGAGTCCCACATCGACCGCGGACTAAAGATGGAGACTTTCCTTAACTATAAAAGAAGATCATTCTCCTACAATTAATCCCTAATGTCATTATTGTACTTAAACTAGTCATTAGAACCCATTAATGATGATTATACTTGAACCTATGTATTTGTGTAAACCCTTCACTTTTAATAAGAATTTCTCTACTCCGTGGACGTATCCAAACTTAGCGTGAACCATATACATTTTGTGCTTGCTTCCCTATCTCTATCTCTTTGCATATTATCCTCACTAGGTGACCGAAACAACCAAGCGAGAGTCACAAACTTAACACTTTACGTTGTTCCAAAGTCTCAATGATTTTGTGCATCAACATTTGGCGCCTTATGTGGGAACGACACGTATTACTACTTTCACCAGCCTTGTCCAGCTGGTTTCCATTGTTCTTACACTCTCTTTTGATTACACATCCCTTTCCAACATGGGGAGTGAAGGAAGCCACAGGACGTAAAACGACACTTTCCTCGTGCCTAGTGTGAGGCAGCGAAAGAAGGAAAGAAATAAGTTTGTTCTTCAAGCTAAGGTTGAAGAGCTTGAAGCTCAAAACCACAAAATAACGATCAAGAACGACATCCCCCAAGAACAATATGAGAAGCTCTTTGAGATGCTCCATTAGGCTAGATAGGCTCAGTCTCATGAACTTTTCACCCCCATAACTATAGATCACCATATTGCTACTCTGTAACGCGAAGGTTCACATGTCTTCAACATGAGAGCTTTTAATGAGGAACAACTTTCTCACCAAGATATTGATCAACACAAGACTTCTCTTACACCAATTGTTTCATATTGAATGAAGAGAAACGAATGAAGACATCTCTTTGTAGAAGGAATAAAAGGGTCAAAAGGCATTTACTATGATTGTCGAGACTTCTTAAGGCAATGTCGAGAAAAACATATCCACATAGGCCCAATGATCATCCAAGGACTTGGTTACAGCAACCCAGGCCAGCCTCCAATCCAGGAAATGAACGACAAGCCTTGGGGCAACAAAAAGGCGTAAGAGACTCGAGGGACTTTCAATAGGCACATTTTGACAGCCAGTATGTTGAGTCCAAAGAAAGGCCACATGTCCTTGACCGATCTTCCCTAGTTTCAAGAAATGATGGAAACTTACAAAAGAAAGCTTTTAATAGTGCTTGACTCATCTTAGGACCCCCTTATCTTACAGCTCATTGAGGAAATAAACAAGTTGAAGGCTGAGCGTCAGGCCAATATACCTGACTGGAATCAGCCAAAACCAGAGCCTTTGACAAGGAGGATCATTTGCACCCCTCTACAAGGAGAAATGAAAAAGAAGCTTGTCTTGTAATCGTATACTGGGAGGGAATATCCAATTGAACATATTCATGTCTTTGAATCCACCATGACATACTGAAGACACAGTGATGAGGAATGATGTCTCATTTTTTCCTTCAATATCTCTAGTAGAGCTTTTAATTGGTATTGTCGTGTTCAACCTGATACGGTAGATTCCTTCGCTGAGCTAAAGAGACTCATTGTGACTCAACATATCTTCCAAGTTGATCGCTTGCACTCCGCTGATAAGTTATACACCATTTGTCAGAAATCAGACGAGTCATTACGTGAATATGTCGGTCGCTTCAACCACGAGTACTCTTGTTGTGATGAGGCAGATGAGAAAATAATACTCAGGGCCTTCACGGTAGGCATGTGTGAATGCCTCTTCAAGTACATGATCAATGCTAACACTTAGAAGACTTATTCTGAGGTGATGACATAAGCTTATAATCATGCTTTTGGGGAGGGAATGACATACCAAGGGAACCTCCTATGGTTAACCCCTACCAACAAGTGGGGAACAAATGTCAAGTTTTACCAAGTGAGAAGGTTTTGGCCATCCAGACACTCACTGCATCCCCTGCTGCCCTACTTAGCAACCTGCCAGGTCACTAAATGTATTCGCCTCTTAGCAAGATGAAGGATTTTTACTCTCAGCAAGCTTAGTACAACAAGAGGAATAAAGGTTCATATCAAGACAATCGAGTCTTGACGTACCTTCAACTGTTATGACCATAGGGTTATGCATCGATATTTCAAAATGGAGGACCAGGAACTAAAGAAAAGGCTATTATAGAAAGGTATACGTATTACAAATGTTTCAACCTTCAACCGTTTGGCATCCTTTGTAACGCAAGCCATTCTAAAAATATTTAATGAAGAGGCAATTCAGACAACTTCGTCTAAGTTTTTTGCATTCCGAACATTAGAACACTTGGTCTAACTCTAACTTAGAGCTTTAGCATACATACTTTAACACTAAGTAAGTGAAACTAAGTGATATAACCAACACGGTTCACATATCCAAACAATGGATTCCTTCATGCATGGCAAAACATTCATAAACAACATGCATCTCATGAACACCACTCAAGTTAATCAACAAAATTTATACCATTCAAAACATTTGTACATAAAAACTAAGTTACGAAAGGGTGTCAACATACATTTTTTCCTTTCAACACATGCTACAATGTGCCTCGACAACTTGCCGTTCTTTTCACCAACCAGGTGATGAAGGCACTCGTCTTTGTATCACCAACCAGGCGATGAAGAATACAACCAAGACTCTAAGAAACAATTTTGAGTTTCAACAACTTGCCACTCTTATTACCAACCAAGTGATGAAGGAACTCACCTTCATATCACTAACTAGGTGATGAAAAGCACAACTAGTACTCTAATAAACAATTTTGAGTTTTAGCAACTTGCCACTATTCTTATCAATCAAGTTATGAAGGAACTCACCTTCGTATCACCAACCAGGTGATGAAGAGAACAACCAATACTCTAGTAAACAATGTTCAGATTCGACAACTTGCTACTCTTCTTACTAACCAGGTGATGAAGGAACTCACCTTCGTATGACCAACTAGGTGGTGGATGATACAACTAGTACTTTAATAAACATTTTTGTCTCGGCAACTCCATACTCTTCTCACCAACTGGGTGATTAAAGAACTTACATTCTTTTCACCAACTAGGGAAGAACAGTATAACCAGCACCTGTGGATTCTTAGCATTCATAAGCAGTAAAACATTTTCAAGCCTTACAACTCAGAAAAGGCATAGACAAACTCAACAAAGCCTTCCACACTCTTGCTTAAGAATGTGGAAGCAAAATCATATTATATGGTTCAACAAACCTTTAACAACTACAACACGTAGATTGTCTGCTACACTCTTACTCAAGAGTGTGGAATCAAAATCGTATTATATGGTCCAACAAACCTTCAACAACTACAACATGTAGATTGCCTTCCACACTCTTGCTCAAGAGTGTGGAAACAAATCTATTTATATAGTTCCTCCAAACTTTCAACTTCTACAATAAGTAGATTGCCTTCCACACTCTTGCTCAAGAATGTGGAAGCAAAATCTATTTATGTGGTCTCTTCCACATTTTTTTACCAGTTAAATAAAAACCGAAAATTAATAATTAATTAACCAACTAATTATTAATTACTCAAAAAATTAATTAATCATATATTTAATTGTATTAATTATTAATTAATCAATTAATTAGTTATTAATTAAATTTGACATGTGGAGGAAGCCAACAAAAGCTTCAATATGTGAGATAAAATTACATGTAGATTACCTTCCACACTCTTGCTCAAGAGTGTGGAAGCAAAATCAATTTATGGGGTCCTACAAAATAGGTTTCCCACACTTTGAAGGGTAAACCTTCGCACACCCTTAAGGGGAGGGAGCTTCCCACACTTTGAAGTAAGGAAGCTTCCCACACCTTTGAAAGGTAGAGCTTCCC